CACATCCAGAAATGCATACACTATTATATATTGTACATATATTTATTAGTTTCAGGTTGGCCATTCTTGTATTTTGCTCGTTTGTGTTGTTGTGTTTGCACATCTCTGTTGCTTGTGGGGCTCGCACACAAGAATTTCACTCGCATGTGCTGTGCCAGTGTGCCTGCACATGTGATGTGACAATAAAAGTATTTGATTTGCACCATTTTTGCATCCACCACCACTAAGCATTTATTTATCTGACCAATTTTAAAGTCTGCCACGAAGAGGAAACTGCCTGAACACCATCAACACTGTCCACCGTGACGTGAGTTTTACATTGTCTGAGAGGGTGCTGACCTATTAAGAAACCTCTGGTCTACCTCCAAATTCTCCGACTTCACCTCAAACCACCTGAAACTTTGACACACTAGGGCACGGGTGTCAAACTGCAGCCCTCGAGTGCCGGAGTCCTGAAACGTTTAAATGTGTCCCTGCTGCAACACATCTGAATAAACTATGATCCTTAACACATATCAAAAGTGTTTTTAGAATGGATATAGCAGGCTAACATCACACTGAGGCTACGTTCACTCTGCAGGTCTTAATGCTCAATTCAGATTTTTTTGTCTGCTCGTTCACACTACAAATAAAATGCGACAGCAAACGCGCTCTAGTGTGAACGCTCAAAGCGGCCGCATGCGCAAAAGAAGATGTCACACACAACGCGCTCTGTTTAGACCCAGAACAACAGCATGTTTGACTGATGGCCCTTAATGTAAAGACTTCAGACTTTACGTTTCCCAATTTTTTCTTTAAGTTATTTTGTTATTGACATAATAATGTAGATAACCTAATAATGATCCTTATTGCTGTTTGAGAGGAGCGCTGCTTCAAAGGATAGCTGCAGATTTCTGTCAGAATCTGCAGATTATACAGTACAAATAAAATGTTCACGTTTCTCCAACGCTGTCTTCCCAACAGTTTCACTGACATCTACGCTGGATGGCCAGGAAGGTTCGCGATGTCTTCTCCGGCGCTGATAATTGGCGTCTGTCTTATGTCAGTGACGTAAAAGACGGATTTAATGCGACATGACCATCAAACAGCAGTCGCTTTCTAAAACATCAGATATGTATCGGATTCAGTACCACATACGAAAGTGACCCAGATCGGATTTGAAAATATCGGATTTGTGCCGTTCACACTGTCATACCATGATCGGATATGGGTCGCATAGGGGTAAAAAAAAAAAAAAAATCGGATTTGATGCGCTTTCACCTGCAGTGTGAACGCAGCCTTACTGAATGCCCTTCCCAAAGATCCCAACTTCAACCTTATTGAAAATTTGTGGACTACACTTAAAAGTTGGATCCATCCCAGGAATCCAACCAATTTAAATAAACTCTACCAATTGTACCAGAAAGATTGGTCATATAACCAGCCAGAATTATGCCAGAGGTTTACTGGTGACTACCAAAAGCATCTGGTTGAGGTGTCAGTGTTTGCATATATTCAAGCCAGTATGTATATTTTTGACTGTGTATGGAAAATCCAAAATAAATTCAAACTTTAAAGTCATTAAAGATATATGCTGTACAATCATTCCACCCTGGAAAAAAGAACAAGTCAAATTAGCGTGACATTCATGCCCAGTGATGAGCGTATATAAACTTCTGACCTAAACTGTACACACTGCTCGTTTTGAGCACTCTTACTTAGACTGATCAACTGTAACATTATAATCATCTTCCTAACATAGTGTTGGTCCTCCTTCAGCTGCCAAAACAACCCTGACTTCAGGCCGAGGCATGGACTACACCAGACTCCTGATGGTGCGCAGTGGAATCTGGCACCAACATGTCAGATCCTTCAAGTCCTGTAAGCTGCGAGCTGGGAACTCCTTTGGATGACTTTTTTTTCCTACACGTCTCACAGATGCTCGACTGAACTGAGATCTTGGGATTTGGAGGCCAAGTGAGCGCCTCAAAATCATTGTTGTGAACCATAAACCATTTCTGAACCTTTTTGCTCCGTGGCAGCATGCATTACCTCGGCCATCAGAGAATACCCACAAAGATTCACGTTTTCCCAGCAGAACTTTACCCAAAGCATCACATTGCCGTCACACTAGGAGATGCTCTGACCCCGTCGTCTAGCCATCCCACTTTGGCCCTTATCAAACAGTCAAATCCTCACGCTTCCCCGTTTCTTCCTGCTTCTAACACATGATCCTTGGGGAGAAAATGTCCACTTACTCCCAAATATATTCCAAATCAGGTCAGCAAATCAAAATTTTACTTCACATGTCAATGATCATAATGTTATGCCTGATGAGTAAATTCATCTATTCATAAAAACAGACTGAAGACATTTTAGCTTTATTATGTTCGTTTATCACCCATTTTATCAAGTCACCGAGGAAAGGTGTGAGTTGGGGCTGACATGCCTGGGAAGGGTTCTAAAAGTCGGTCCCAAGGCCAACACTCCCAAACAAGCTAAAAACATGTATAAAACATGCATACAGTCAGGTGCAGCAGGGAATGCTGGCACCTCTACAAAGGAGAAACCACACAGCCATCCCACAACATGGAAGAGCCACCACAGCGTAAGACTCAGTTGTACACCTGCACATAAAGGATGCCGATGTTCACATTTTGGACCAAGGGACAAAAAGTACGTGAGGACCATCATCATCATCTGACAGGAGCCATCAGCCACCAACAATTCAGTTTTGTGCCTGTATGCTGTGCAATCCATCCCCCCTAAGAAAAAATCAGTCCTAACCGTGATAAAAACCGGCTTAAACTATCAGAGCACAGAGATCATTTATTTCCCCTTTTTCAAGGTAGTTCGCCTCTTTTCAATAACAACAGGAACAAACGATGTGACCTGTAACTGTGACAGTTTCAGGGTCATGTGTCGGTGCTGCGGTTGGCCTGTCCTGTTCCGACAGTTGCCGTCTGGTCTGTACTACAGACGCCAGCGTTGATGTGACTGAGTCCAAGTGTTGTATCTGTACTAGTACAACTAAACACGACACCGATACAGTAAAACACTGAGAGCTAGTACAGTTCTTGTTACCTTGAGAGGACCCAGTCGTCCTATGCGAAACAAGAAAGTCGCCATTTCGTGTTCCCAATATTATTCTCCGGTCGGAAACTGGGCTTAAATACAAGAGTTCCGTGATACCAATGGAACTTTGAAAAACAATGTTTTGATTTTAAAGGATTTAAAAGCGACGTGATTCGATAGGCCTTCTTCTTACTTTTACTATATAGTGATTTAGGTTGTGTCAGTACAGACATTTGGAGGCTTCTCCTCGTGTAAATAAGCGAGACTCACTCTTGTGGCGGCGCCACAGCGGATCACCTGCCTCCATCTATCCCCGTGGAGATGAAACCCATCTCCACAGTGACACCTGCTGGCCAATTTGGCTGTGGTCACAACTGCTTATTATATTGTGACTGTGAATAACTCAACACAAATTTCGGAGAAATCCACACAAACAACAAACAAAAATATTGAGACTGTTAAAGACAACAAGCTGTGACTGCAATGGATTCTCCCTCTGTTAACAATCGTGCTGCTCTTTACAATGAATCAGTTTATAAAGTAAAACACACAGAGAGAAAACTGCTGTGTTTGCTGCAATAAGCACACAGGTTTCCAGCTGCATTTCCAAGTAGGATTCAGCAGGTCGGAAAACCCTAACACTGGCTGTAATGGCTCCACATAGGGAGAAGGATCAACTCCCAGCAATTTCTATTGTGGGCTTCTGTAGATTTTCTTTATGCACATGCTGTAATCTGCTGACCTGCTGCTCTCTGTGTCCTTAAACAACTGAATTTAACAAGATGTCAGCAGTTTCATCCCCACACTGACACTATACAGTTTATACTGTCTTTACACTTGACAGTGTACAGCTGGAGTTCAGTGAATTAATCTAAGCATCATCAGCTTAAATACAAATTCATCTCTGCCAGACTTGATAAAACCTAAATCTGAGCATGAGCACCACAGCCACTGTGTATCCGTACAACACAGTGCTTTACTGTGTTGTACACACTCACTACAGTTACTGGACTCTACACACTGTCACTTTAAACAATGCCACTTTGAATGCTCACTGCACAGTTTTGCACAAACTGTAAATGCTAAACTATTTGTTTTAAATTCTCCATAATTTTTAACACTTTTAGTATTTTTATTACATTTTTAATTTTAGTATTATTATTTTTTCTTTAATATACCTGTTTACTTTATATATGTTCGTGTAAAGTTGGGGGACACGCGTCTAAGAATTTCAATAGGACTACATGTTGCTACAATGTTATCTGTATATGACAAATTTGTATGAATAGTCTGTGGGGATAGGTTAATTGATTAATCCAAATTGTCACTAGGTGTGAATGTGCGAGTGAATGCGAGTGTGAATGGTTGTCTGTCCCTGTGTGTTGGCCCTGTGACAGACTGGCGACCTGTCCAGGGTGTACCCCGCCTTTCGCCCTATGACAGCTGGGATAGGCTCCAGCGCCCCCCGCGACCCTGAAAAGGATAAGCGGAAGCGAATGGATGGATGGATAGTCTGTGGGCCACTGTTGCTTGTGCTGTACAAAGTAAGCAGCCAGGGCGGTGAAGAGGGAAGATATACGAAAGTACCTGGAGAGCTGAAGTGAAACTGACTGTTAATTGTAATGAAAAAATGTCCACGACAGATGCTGTCTATGCTTTTCTTGCTGTATTTAGTTTTACATCTGCTCCCAGCGATGTACAATTAGGATCTTAAAGGCTTTCATGGGAGCACATCTGAAGTGGGTGAACAGCTTGCTCTTGCTGTTAGAACATGTATGTAGACAGACGTGTTTCTGGGACCATAAATTATGCATTAGCTGCTCTTTTTATACCCAATCATGTCACTGACCTGGCCAGTTAACATAATCAATGGCAAAAGATATTTCTTTTGATGTCACTTACTTTTCCAGCTTTTTGTTCTCCCCACCCCAACTTCGAAGAGCTGACGCTGCCATCAAATTCAAAATGAGAAATTATAATCATGAATTACTGTATTCTGTTTTTATTTATATTTTACACAGTGTTACAACTTTTCTACTTTTGGAGTTGGTAGAGAATTTACTCCAGTGTCCTGTTATATTTTAAGTAACAAGGAGCAGACGGCTGAGTCTATTAAACTCCACTGAGACAGCTGGTGACACAAATCTGAAGGCTAGACCGTCCCCTTTCACAGCCACTCACTTCCAGCATTCTCAGTCTTCGGAGGACTTGGCCCACGTAGACTGTGAAGGCCGGGTCCCCCGAAGGATGCAGCTCCTGAATTGAGAAAAAGCTAATGTAGGCTTTAAGGGTCCTCCTTTCCAGGCATCTGAGGACCAGGTGTCCCACCAACAGGGTCCACAGAGACATTACGATAAAAAGTGTTTTGCCTCAGTTGTTGCCAACTGCGCTGATGTGTCGAGCCATCCTGCACAAAGAGGTGCAGAACAACGCTGTCACAGACATAAATAAAAGGGTGCAGTATGTTCAAAAAAGGGGGAAAAAATCAAAGTACAGGTCAGTCTGTCTCCCAGCGAGGGTGGAGCTGTACCAGCTTTGGATTCAATCCCCCGGGTCCCTTGGTTGCCATGGAGAGGGAGTAACACAGTCACTCATACCCTAACATTCACATACATATACTCTTTTGGACATACTGGGGGCAACTCAGGGTTCAGCATCTTGCTCAAAGATACTTTGACACAGGACAGGAGGGGCAAGGGATTCATCCACCAACCTTCCAGCTTGCTTTACTATTTGAGCCACAGCTGACAACAGACCCAGTTTCTTATGAGGCTTCTCTGTCACTGGGTCTTATGGAGAATTTTCACCAGCACCTTGCTCTATTTCACAAGGGAAACTGTTTCATTTAGAGCTTGCTTGCGTTGCCCCGTGTATCCCTCCCTGTGGCTGGATGCCATCTCAGTGACATGGTGCAAGTTTCCCACAAATGCCGTTTAAAAAAGTATTCACTGTGGGTATCCCCGTGGGTATGATGGATATGAGCAAAACTGTAACAACAGATGCCATGTTGACAGGGTGGGGCTGCCATGCTGCCAGGCCCCAGTGCTCGAGCTGTTGTACATATTTCTGTACAGCCTGCGTGCGCTGGGCACAATGAGCCATTCACTAAAACAACAGACCCTAAACCTGAACAGCAGCATCACAGCAATGTTAAAATACCTCAGTAATAAACTTCCCCGCCTTTCAAGCTAAGCGCTACCTGTGCTGGAAGTATGAGCAGTCTTTAAATCTTAATTTTCAAGGTTTTGCTCCGATTTTAAAGTTATTTTACTCATACTTCTTCTCCTGTGGACACGGCCGCGTTTCTTATGTGCGTCTCGTACTCAGGGGGCGTTCCGTGACGTATTTCGTACGCGACAAAATACGGCAGTTTCCCGTCGCACACATGGGTGTCCAGTCGCGTTAAGCATCATGAGTGCTGTAGGTTTTTGTGGAAACTGGATTATTATCACCTGCGACAAAAAACTGTTTGCAGTGCATACAAAGGAAGCCAGGTTTGACTTTAAATCTCTTTCATTGGCTCCGTGTTAGAAATGCTCGCAGCTCTTCACGTTAGAGCGAATACACTGGGACATGGACGTATGGTTAGCTTGCTTTTAGGGCTTCCTTACACCCCACCCAACCAAGCGCTCTCCTTGCTCAATCTATACTTGTGGATAACCATACAAGAAAATCTGTGGATAGGGGGTAACTCTTGTTTATTGTGTAGAGATATATAAATCATGACACAACGATGGTTTCAAATGATAAAAACCGCCACTTACGAATTACACTTGGTTCCACAAAAACGTGTACGGGGATCACATTTTTGCAGTGTTGCTCCTGCAAACACCAACAGGGGAAGTGATGTAAAACAAGCTGAAAGCTCTCAGCTTTAATTAAAGGGGTTCCTCCATTTCCACAGGCTCAACAGAAACTGAGCCGGCAAAGTTATGAGGGTTATTTGAACATTAGATTAACATCCTCTGCGTCAAAGACTGCTTGAAGTCTGGAACCGATGAACATTAGCGAATAGTTTCCTCCTCTGAGATGCTCTGCCGCCTGCCACCACCTTCAGCTGCTTCAAACGTCTGAGTACATTCATGATGGCATCTTTGGACATCTGGAAAATACTGCTGTAGCTCTCCTGGTTGAGCTGTCTGTATATGAAACACTGAGCTTCTGTTACAGAGGCCTAGGTTTGCTTGGTATCTGGCAGCCTGTGATTTCTTTCTGCTCCTCTTTAAGTGTTGCTATCTACAGATAAAATGCTAAAAAGTAACAAATTGTTGGTACATGTTTAGGTGTTTGCTCTCCTATAAGCTTTTTTTTCTTTACCAGCCTAATGAAAGTATTATTTCATTTGCATCAGCAACTTGTGTTGGGACAAATTAACATGAACTAAATCCAAATGTGACACTTTTAAATAATAGGAACACAGAAACAAGTCATCTGCCAGCTGTCCTGTTACTTTATTGCTGCTGAAATATATGATTGTTGAGTGGATAACGGGCAGTAGAATTTCAGATGGAATTGTAACTGATTTACTCTCCTTGATCACAGAGATCCATTTGTGTTTGACTGCAGCACTGCTGAGAAGAAGCCTAAGAATACAAAGGATGAGAAGAACAGGTATAAATGGGCTGGTAATGTGTTTGTATTGTGCAAATGAAAATAAGAATATGAACAAGAGAAAAACAGACGCAGAGTAGAAGCAGATTTATGCAGCATTTAGACTGCTGTGGGAAATCTCACAGAAGTTTCCGTCAGGCTTTAGGATATAGCTATAACGTATCTGCTCTGTTCATCAGTGATGGTGGTTCCTCAGAAGAAACAGGAAGTGATAAAGTCCTCGCCTTTGCTGTATCTCCATCTGGAAAGCTCCTGGCACTGACTGATGACAACAAGAGACTAGTTCTGTTTCGCTGTGAGCCTTCATGGCACTGCATCAGCATCAGGTATGACTTCACCTCTGTCACTCAGTTTCAGTAGCTTCATCTACTGCACGGAAGTGTTCAGAACGGCGCTGTGTGTCTAACAGGTGGGTGGTGAGGAGGTGCACGTCCCTGGTGTTCACCCAGGCTGAGGAGGAGCTGCTGGTGGCGGACAAATCAGGAGATGTGTACGTGTTCTCGGTGGTTGAGCCACAGAAAGAAGGCGAGCTGAAGATGGGCCACCTATCTATGCTGCTAGCTCTAGTAAGAAACACCACTATCATTCAGTACCTTATAAATAAGTCTATCAAAGGAAGTGTTTTGGCTGCTGATTCCTCACGGTGGAT